CCTGCTTGCACCACTCTACGTTACCAGCAGCTGAAAAAGAGCACGCCGAGCCAACAAAGCCTGCCCGAGCGCCTCTATGGCACCTAGCCCCAGCCGCCCCACTAACTACGCTGACCCACCCTTCAGAGGATGAGCCACGTCTGCACGAGGAGCACGGCCGCACTCCAACGCACAGGAAGAGCAAGCTACGCCCCCCCACTCACACTACAAACAGGCTTGAGCCCCAGAAGCTTTCTGCTAAAGGTGACTTTTTTGACTTTGAAGCGCAGACAGGTTGGATCCATCTTACGTGACACGAACAGAACTTCGTTCCGGCTGCAGTGCAGCTAAAATTCGTGAAAGTTGCAAAAGATTGCAAGCAAGCTGCAATGGTAGAGAAGCTGTACAAAGCAAAGAGGCTGTCACCAGCCCAAAGCAAAGTCGAGACACTGAACACGGGATCAGGGATGCACAAGCGGTCACCCTCGCTGTGACACTTACGGAAAGGTGGGAACTACAATGTGGTCGCCTTCACATGTGAAACCGCGGCAACAACACTACCTCCTACCTACACTTAAGCAACCCTCACAGCTCAGAGTCATAAGAAAAAGAGTCGAAGGAATCATGAGATATATCGGAATCCACATCCCGCTCAGTTGGAGCAACATCTGAAGCCACATCCGAAGCAGCGGAGAGCAGTCTGGCCTCATCAGAGGCCAGAGCATCGTCCCAGGCCCATGAGTATTCACTTTCGCGAACAAGCAAGTGGAACGGCCGAGGGTCCTCCCGCATGCGATGTAGAATAAGTGTATATGCCATCTCGAAGTGACCACATCACTTGTGATTTTCACTTTATTTCCAATTTCACAACGATTGTTGTCTCGTTGAGAAACGATCGTGCATGAACACTTCGGGCGGTTTTTGGGAAACTCTTTTGAACCTGATTTTTTTTAACGATTGGGTTTTCACGAACTTTATTCTTTGATGATCAGTTGTCAACATGTCTCCCGCGCACGCTCCTTCAAGCACATGAGTGCAAAATTTTTGTTGAGCCTTGGGGCCCCTGCGTGAGTGCGGTCTCGACGTGCGTCGGTGCTCCCGGCAGTGGTGGCAGTTCCGGGTTCGTCCTGGGCTGCGAGTCGGAGTGAGATACACCGGACACCCGAGGCCGCCACTCCGCAACACGTTGCATCTAGAAAGGTTCTGGGTGCTAACCGTGGGGTTCTAGACGTCTAGTTTCCTCGGCTCATGTCGGACCCCGCTCGGGCAACTGCAGAGGACAATTTGGCGGGCGAACTGGCTGGCCCAGGGACCGTGCGGTCTTTTGCTTCGCCTGTGTCCGGGTTTATCTCTGACGTATTTCCGACAAGCGCGACTACACGCAGTCACGTTTCGTCGGAGAGCGATAGCGATGCTCATCGGCTATCTGACCTGTTTCCTGGCGGTGCTGAGGTAGCTGCTGCGGACTCATTGCCTGGGACTCTGGAAACTTCTAGTTTGGCTGCCGATGGTTCCGGCTTCGCTTTGGATGACCTTGATGATGCCCCGAACGGGGGCCTTCATATCTCTTCGGCTGGCTCCGCGCTGGACTACGTGAATGACTCTGCGGATGCGGAGTTGTGGCAAAGGCTCTCAGCCTTAGAACGGCCCGCTTTCGGCACCAACTCTGGTGTGACTGCTGACGTTTCTTCTCGGGATGGCGAGGTGGAGGTTGCTGTGGAGTCGCCTTCCTCCGCGATCTTGCAGGCTGAAGCTTTTGGCCGCGGCTTACAGGGACTTACTGCACGCTCCCATCGTGTTTGGTCCTGTGCCCTTTCCGGCGAGGCTTCCATCGTTATGAATGGTGTGCCAACTGCGACCATTGGTTGGCGGGGCCAAGATACCCTTTCAAAGTTACTCAATGATTCCGCCAGGACCTGCCATCACGAAAATTATGAGAGATGGATCGTCGATGGTGTTACGCTCCACTTTCGACAGGCCGGGGTTCGGCCGACTTATGAGTGCAGCTTGGAGCGCTCTACATGGTTCCAGATGGAGACAAACTTCCGCCTGGTGTGCCGTGGCTCCTTCACTCGACGGTTTGCCAGGAAACGCCGTGCTGCCTCTACCAGGACTGGCTGAAGTGGTCTGTTGGACTACCCGACTGCTGAATGGCTTCGCCTTGGGCTGGCACCTTCGGCTGCTATGGAGGCTTTATTTTGTGGCCGATCGTCTTCCTGGAACGGTGATGGTCGACTAAACTTCCAGGCCTCCGCTGCTGAAAAATGTTTTCTTCCGTGAGCGTGCAAACAGTTTGACATGTCGGCCTGCATTCATTGTCCTGCCTCATGAGTGATTTGCCGAAGCTGTCATGACCAACTTTCATGTTGTTTGCGCGCCTGCCCACAAGCATCCCAAACAGATGTTCATGTGGCGGGCACTTGCATAGCAACATGGACTGCTCACGCCACTCATTTGTGCTAGGACACTTCGGCGTACTGCAGGTGCTTGTCAACCAGTGCTCTTTTCCAGGCTTTGTGCCGTGCTGCACTTCACATAACCTACGTCACCGATTTGGGATTGCCTTTTGTGCTAAGTTTGTAGCTGCGCATGTCCGCTAGCCCTCGGAGTGACACGACTGCTGTGCTGGACGATATCGAGCCTTCTCTTCAGGGGCTGCTTTGCATTCCAGCGGCGGTTGCCTCTGTGGGCGACTGCCTGTGCGCCGTTGATCGGCATTCGCTTGAGCTGATCTGCTGGTGGTGGCACGCGGACCTCAGGTGGCACTTGCGCGAGTGGTCACCCGTGGATTCGGCAGTTGCCTCTCAAGCCTCGGCGACACAGAGTCCTCGGCCCGCTGGATAGCTGTGGCTTTGCGACCTGGGGTCGCCCTCTTGTGTCGCGCTCTTGCTGTGGGTGCGATACGGGAGCGCTCATGTCTCATTTCGATTTCAAGACTCTGCTTGCTTCTGCTGTTGACTCATGCTCGGAAGCCACTCCTAGGGATAAGCTGCTTCCGTGGGAGTCTGGAGTGTTCAAGCAGATCTTCGAAGGGGAGGATCCTTTGTCTTGGAAGGACAGGTTCGATCTGCCGGACCCACCGGGGTGGGATCATGGCGACGAGGAGACTCTGCTTCCAGCCGAGAAAAAACGCAAGGTATTGGATGCTGATTTCTCGCAAGGCATTTGCTTTACTGTTGTTCGCAAGACTGAAGGATTGAGCTGGGAGGATCAACGGCAACAAGATTCTGACAAGGCTATTGCTCGATGGATTTTCATCATAGTGAAGTGGTCTGAGACGTGTCCTGATTTGTTGGTATGCCAAAGCCTGGATGAATGCACCGAGAAAGATCAAAGGATCAACGTGGTCCAGGATTGGCTGCATCCCAAGGCGCCGAGCACTTTGTTGAAGAGAGCCAATTCTATTATGGGATATCACAAAGTTGTTGGCTGGGGAGACGGGACTTTTCCTTATCGTGAGCAAGATGTGTACCGATACATGTCAGATGCTAAGGCCGGTGGGGCGAAACCGTCACAGCTGAAAGCTCTGCGAGAAGCTATAATCTTCGTGCGGCATGTTTTCATGGTTCCACAACTAGACAGGGTGATTGAAAGTCGTCGCTGTCTGGGGGCGTCGCAGAGGGGGACTGTGAAGCGTGGCAAGAAGAGGGCTCATCCGTTCTCCATTCTGGAATTGAAGAAGCTTCACCATTTGCTTGCGGACAAGGATGTTCCAGCTTGGGACCGCACTTTCGCAGGAGCAGTTCTCTGTTGCACTTACATGAGATCGCGTTGGGGGGACTTCCAACATTCAGTCAGCTTTGATATCGAGACGAACGGCCAGGGGGACATCATTTTCTTGGTGTACACTGTTGAGGTGTATAAGACAGTAAATTCCAAGTACTTTGCTGGCGAGCCTGTTAGGTTCATTGCTCCTGGAGTTGGGATTCTCAGTGACAACTGGCTGCACTTGTGGAAACAGGCTCGTGCGGAGGTCGGACTGTTTACATTCTTGCCGCCGCTGCCTACGCCCAATGCTGCTGGCGAGGCCATGGGGTGTTCGGTCTCTTCTAAAGAGATTACTGCTTGGATCCAGAAGGTCTTGGGGCGCGACAATAGCAAGAACACAACAGGACACCTCATGAAGCGCACCTTCTTGACCATGGCTGCAAAGCGTGGGGTTGAGCACCTTGATCGGCTAACCATGGGTGGTCACGCCAACTCGGCGAAGATGGCCGACACTTATGGTGATGACGAGCTGGCACGGCCACTAAGGTTGCTCCTGGCGCTCTTGGAGGAAATCCGCGAAGGTGTCTTCGACCCTGACGCTGGACGTGCGGGGTACATCTTCGGTGCTGGCCTGCGGGAACGCCGGCTGACGGCGGATAGGATGCAGGTCCGTGACCCTACAGCCACAGGTGCCTTTGCAGCTGGCGCGGGGTCTGAGGCCACAAATGGTAATTGCCCTGCTGATCAGTCTGGCAATAGCAAGGACGGCTTAACAGAGCAAGATGCAGCTTCGTGGGACCTCCCGCTCCCTGAGCGGCTCACTGACGATGATTGGAGAGACTTGGGCATCTCTCCTCCAAGCCCAGAGCATACTGCCGCCAACGAGGAACCGGAGTCGCCAGATATCGGCGATTCGCCAGTACACCCGTGGGACAACTTGATCGAGGAACCTAATGGGAATGCTTCCGGGACGGACTCTTCCAGTTCAAGCTGTTCCGATGAGTCGTCTTCTTCGTCTTCAAGGATCAGTCACGAACCTGAGCGCAAGGTGGGTGTACCGAAGCCCGCCCTAGGCACATCTTTCCTGCAACACAAGCGGACTCGGCTTTTGCACTTGATTTCCGATCAAAATCGGAAGGTTTTGCTGTGCGGCCGCATGGTTGGCGACACATACAAGCCACCAATAAAAATTCGATTTGACTCTTCAGTTTGCCGGAACTGCAAGAAGTTCGCGGCGGATCTGTGAAACGCGCCTCTTCGAAAGACCCACGTACTCTTCGTGTGTGCATGCTCGCACTGCCGGTGCTACTGTCATGGAAGCCTCTCCGCTTGAGTGTTTTGTGACTCAGACGCAGGGCATCATGTCGCTTGTGGATTCCGAAGCTGCCTTCACCCAGCGATGCCAGGAGGTGAATGCGGGAACCATTCACACGGCTTTGCGTGACAATGGTGTCACGACCTTTGCTAGTCTGGCTTATGCATGCGGCACCCCTCAGGATCGCCCTACGCAGACCGAGCTGGATGCTTTCAGTACTAGGATTCTCGGAGCTGCGCCTCGCTTGGGCGACGTCTCGCTCTTGAAGCGACTCATCTTCGAATCATGCACCTTTGTGATCGCACAGTTGCGCCAGAATGTTCAAGGCGATGCTTCTGAGACCCCTAAGAAACTCCCCCTCGCTGAAAAAGCGGCCAGAGCGGCCGATCAGAAACGCCGCTTGGCGGGGGTCCACATAGAGAGGGACTCCGTTCCATCTTATGCCTTGGTGGATTTGTGCTTCCATATGCTCGAGGTCGGGGTGACATGGATCAGCCCAGGCCGCTGCACGAGTCGCGAAAGCGAGATCCAACTCTCGACCCGCGATCAAACCAAGGTGTTTAAGCTGGAGGATAACAGCTTGAAAGTCGGAAACGAGGGCCCAGATGATGTGGCCTGCTTCGACTCTCCCATACGACTACAGTGGTGTCTTCAAAGGAGAGGCCTTGCACTTGATCAAGCTAGACTTATGTCTTGGCAACAACATGAGAGGTGGGTGCATTGCCTCCTCCACGCACTTACGCGTGAGTGCCCTTCGGGGTTCCACAAGCCGGATATGAACCGCATTGTGCCAGCCGACCGGGAGGCATGGCTCATTCTTGCATCGGAGGTGCCGAGTCTCAAGGTCACAGCCGCTGGCGAGTTTCCGCTTGGTGTTGCACTCGAGGCCCTCCGCACTGACCCACGAATCACCATGTATCTTATGCCTACTTGGGGCCGGCAGCCTGACGTCAAGATGCCTTTGGATGTCCCGTCCCCACCAAAGGACGGCGAGGGTCTGTCTCGCTCGGCAAAACGTCGGAGGCGCTTGAAGGCGGCGGCGGCACGGAATGCCACGCCGCCTGGAAAGCCGACTTCGACCCCCAAAGGGGCACGTGCCATGCCTGCCGAGTTGAAGGGCACGCACCAGAAAACCGAAGATGGCAAGCTCATTTGTTGGGATCACAACGGCGGCGGCTGCAAGCTCAAGACTGACGGTGATCCCCCAGCGTGCCAGCATGGTGTTCATGTGTGTGCCTTCTGTCGTAGGGCTGGTCACTCCTTTCGCAATTGCCGTGCTCGCACTTGGAAGGGCGCTGGTAAAGGCAAAACCAAGGAGTGACTCGTCGCTGCAACCCCCGGCCAGGTTGAGGCTGGACGGATCACTGGCCAGGATGACGACGGGCTGGGATACACTTTTTCTCCGGTGCCGGTGGCAGCACAGGACCTTTCTTCTGCCGAATCGCTGGCAGCCCAGTGCCTGAATCTTGGCTTTGCAAGTTTTGCACAGCTTCGTGAGCTCAGTGCTCGCCTACCGGCGGACTCTGTGGGAGCACCTTCAGGCCAACCTGTTGCTCCTACGGATCCCAAATCTTTTACTTCTGGAGCCTACGTGCACCACGACAAGAACGGGCTTCGATCCAATTGTTTTGCATTTCCTTTTTCCACACAACTGATTGCACGCATATTGTCGGCCGAGTTTCCTGATGCCTGTTTTTCTTCGGTGGGCCTATTCTTCAACTTGAGGGCGCCGCTTCATTCCGATCGCAACAATGATCATCGGCACGCCAACCTGTTGCTGCCAGCCTCGCATTTTTCGGATGGTCAGGTTTGGGTGGAAGGTCGCGGGCAGCATCCGTGTCCTGACCTCTCCGCCAAACGCCTTGGTTACCTGCTTGATGTGGCTTCTGGCCCGCAACGGCTGCCCTCAGAGCGTCTCCACACTACATGCCCCTGGACCGGGGACCGCCTGCTCGTGGTGGGTTTCTGCGTTCGTGATACACAACGACTCTGTGAACGGGACTGCCACTGGCTGCGGGACTCTGGTTTTCCACTGCCCGGCCCTCCCCAAGAACCTGCTGCCGCTCCTCGCCAGGTCACTTCAACGACTTCTTCGCCCTCTTTGTCTACCTCTACGAGGCTGCCGCCAAAGGTCTCAGCTTCCATCACCAAGCGCCGCCGCGTTGCATATCGGCCTGCCTTGCCAGTGCATTCTACAGCAAAGTCGTCTAACTCTACGACGCCAACCACACCGGCCGATCAACATGCTGATGCATTGGCTGAGAAGATCTTCCCGAACAACCTGGCTCCACTTGTTATCGAAATCTTTGCTGGCACCGCCCGCCTCAGCACTGTTGCTGGGCGCATGGGCTTTCGTACTTTGGCGGTGGACCGCTCCTCGCAGAGAACCAACTTCTCTATACAACGACTGGACCTTACGTTGGATGCCGACGTGCAGACGCTGCTTGACATCATCAACCTGGAGGCTGACAACATTGCTTGGATCCATTTGGCACCTCCTTGTGGTACAGCCTCGGCGGCACGCTCCAGGCCTTTGCATAAGGCTGAGCACTACGGCTGCCCTGTGCCTCAACCACTACGCAGTGTCACGGAGCCGCAGGGCCTCTCCACACTGACCGGTGCCGACCGCGATCGTGTACTCGCTGCCAACAAGTTGTATCGAGCTGTCGGCTGCATCGTTGACCTCGCCCTGCAGCTGGGTCTTTTCGCAACCGTCGAGAACCCTCTCAACAGCTTGGCTTGGCTATGTGACGGCCTCGACCACCTTTGTCGCCGTAAAGATAGCTACCAACTCATCTTTGATGCTTGCATGCATGGCGGGGATCGCGACAAAACTACCTTATTCTGGTGCTCCGACCCACGCTTTCAGTCGCTGGCACTACGTTGTTCCCGTGACCACAAACATGCATCCTGGAAGCCTCGCTTTGTGGATGGGCATTGGCAATTCCCTACTGCTGAGGAGGCGGCATACCCTTGGCTTCTTTGCGAACGGATGCTTTACATTCTGGCTGAGAGTTTTCCTGCATTGGCTTCCACTTCACAGCAACCGCGAGCCTGTGAGCAAGTCGCACTGCAGCGACAGCCAAAATATGCTCGACCTCTGGTTTCATGCTACCAATCACACGACTGCTGGGCTGTACCTGTACGCTCCGCGGATGCTGCGGCACCTCTTTTGAAGTGCAATTTAAAGGTGCTCGTGTGACGCAACGCAAACTGGTGCCATGGGGAGCAGTCCGGGTTTGCGCTGCCTCGAAATATCCTGGCTTTGACAGACATAGTTCTGCAGAGTTGCTGGGAGGGACGGCCAAGATCTCTCAACCTGACACTTCCGATTTCTCTTTGCTTGCAAGCGAGGATAAAAACGACGTGTACGAGGTGGTGGGAATGGTGTGCGATGACAACCCTTGTGCGACCCAGGCAGAAATTCTTACTATTGGAATTCCACGTGAACCAGAGGACTTTGTGAAGGCTGCGGTCCGAGCGGGGCACCCTCGCAATGCAATACTGGTCAATCGCCAAGGTCCTGCAAAGGAAATCGCTGCCAACGTAGTTATGCCAGCAGAGGAGCGCAAGAAAAGGGCCGAAGAGGCTCGGGATGCGTGGAAGAAAATTTCCAAGGAGTCGGCTGACACCAACGACGCGCTTATGAAACAAAAGCCCGCGTACTTGGCGAAGGCGCTGGCTGGCAAGAACGTCATTGCTTGGAAGCGCATTCTTGAGCGAAATGGTTTCCCTGACAAGATGCTTTGGGCTGACTTGCGTGATGGCTTCCGCTTAACAGGATGGATGAGAGAGACCGGAATCTTCAAGCCTAGAGTCAAAGCACCGGAATCCTCTCTTGAAAGCCTGCTAGCACAATCGTCTTACCGATCTCCCATGACTATGAGCCGGATAACAAACACGAAGCCGGACGAGACGTCTAGGAAGGCGTGGGCTGAAACCCAAGAGGAGGAGCGCAAGGGCTGGATCTTCGAGGACACCGTCCCTGACTTCAGCAACATCATTCTGGCGCACCGCTTCGGACTTGAGCAGAAAAACAAAGTACGGGTGATTGACAACGGCAAGGACTGTGGCTTGAACATGGCTTGCGGGCTGCCAGAGAAGTTCACCCTGCACGGGGTCGACGTTCTGGCGGCTGTCTTCCTTGAGTTGTTGAATATGCCACGTGACCGCTTGTTCAAATTGGTTGGGAAAACAATAGATCTCGTCTCAGCCTATAAGTTCTACCCAGTACATCCTCTTGACAGACAACACTTGAGGATTGGTGTGTTCGACACGGACAGCAAGAGAGCGCGGATCTATGGGACTAATGTCCTACCTTTCGGTGCCACCGGAAGTGTGGCTGGTTTCCTTAGGGTGTCAGCCGCCGTCTGGCACACTGGCGTCCGGGACATGGGCTTGGGCTGGTGCGCCTACTTCGATGATTTTCCATTGCTATCTTGTGATGGAATGGAGGAACAGATCGAAGAATTCGCCGACGAGGTGTTCGAGGCTCTTGGGATTCAGTATGCCAAAGAGGGCAAGAAAGCAACAAAGTTTGATGCAGTTTTTAATGCACTTGGCTTGGCCTTCGACCTGTCGAGATTCGAGAGCGGGGTCATCTCCATCACACATACCAGCGATCGAAAGAAGGAGTTGAATGACGTTCTCGCGAACATCTTGCAGACGGGAAGGCTTAGCCCCAAGGAGGCTGAAGTCCTCCGGGGGCGCATGCATTGGTATTCTTCTTACTTGTTCGGACGGGCACCGTGCGAGGCTATGCACCAGCTTTCCTTAAGGGCCAGGGGAATCGATGGTTCATCGGAACTGAGTGCTGATCTGGAATGGGCGGTGAGGACACTGCTCGAACACGTCAGTACCTCGAGACCCTTGGAGTTGAGGCAGACTTCCGGGAGAGAGCTCTTTATTTTTACTGATGGATCTTATGAACCTGGCGCTGAGATTGTGGCCGGCATCGGAGGAATCATTTACGATGCCTCTGGCGTCCCGTTGGCTTTCTTCAGCTCGGAGATCCCAATGTTTGATTTGGAAGTGCTGGAGGCTGAATCCGAGCATCCGATCTATGAAGTTGAGCTCTACGCGGTGCTTGTGGCGTTCATGCTATGGGCAGACGTGTTGAAGGACACCTTCAGCACCTTTTACCTAGACAACGAGGCTGCACAATCTGCTTTGATTGCTGGTCGCTCTGGGACCCGGAACGGGCGGCGGCTCCTGCAGCGAGTATTGTCTTTGGAACACGACAACTTGGCCAGACCGTGGTTTGGTCGAGTGCCTACTCACTCGAATCCTGCAGATCCGCCGAGCCGACAGATCGTGGACCACTTGATTAAACAAGGTGCAAGGCGGGACAGCGTCGACTTGGGCAGTCTGTTGCTTGAAAGGCCTCCGGATACGAGCTGAAGTGCACTTCGATGGGGGAAGTTCGGGTGCACTTGAAACTTGTGCTTTAGGAGTCGTGGCCCTTGGCCGAGCCTTGGAGGCTTGACCTTGGGACAGACATCCGATTTGACTTTCGACTTTCCCCATTGCACTTCGAGCTTATCCGATAAAATGAAGGAGGGGTCCGAGTGAATGCATCGCAGTCTCACATGTCTGATTGAACATTTCATACGAAATATATTTGATTGATATTCCCAAATAACGACGAATTTGTTCATGCGTTTGTGGACTTGGAAATAAGTGACCACATCACTTGTGATTTTCACTTTATTTCCAATTTCACAACGATTGTTGTCTCGTTGAGAAACGATCGTGCATGAACACTTCGGGCGGTTTTTGGGAAACTCTTTTGAACCTGATTTTTTTTTAACGATTGGGTTTTCACGAACTTTATTCTTTGATGATCAGTTGTCAACATGTCTCCCGCGCACGCTCCTTCAAGCACATGAGTGCAAAATTTTTGTCCCGCCCGCCCACCCTGGGGGAAGTTCGGGTGCACTTGAAACTTGTGCTTTAGGAGTCGTGGCCCTTGGCCGAGCCTTGGAGGCTTGACCTTGGGACAGACATCCGATTTGACTTTCGACTTTCCCCATTGCACTTCGAGCTTATCCGATAAAATGAAGGAGGGGTCCGAGTGAATGCATCGCAGTCTCACATGTCTGATTGAACATTTCATACGAAATATATTTGATTGATATTCCCAAATAACGACGAATTTGTTCATGCGTTTGTGGACTTGGAAATAAGAAATCTTCCTTATGATCTCCATCCAGCATCAAACGAAAGAATGCAAGCTGGTGCCACATATCAGCACCCTCAAGTTCCTCAAGTATCTGCCGAGTGATGGCTTGACGATGCTCCAAGCCCGCCGGAAACTGCTCAAAATAGATACGGATACCAGCATCACGAATAATATAAATCTGTATACCACGAATGACCAAGTACATCGCCAAAGTCTCATCTGAAAGAATCAAGGAAGCCGGCATGCCCAAAAGTACACGCTGCCATGTCTCACCACACTGCGCTTGCCCAGGAGAGTGCAAATGCCCAGCAGCACCACATGTCATCACGGCATCCGCCGCATGTGACACTGAAGACAATGCACGGCCAGTCACATCAAGCGCTCGCGACATGTAGAAACGCAAACACTAATGAAACCCACTGACCCTGGAGCAAGCACAGACAGAGAGGCGGCATCAGGCATGGAGCGCATCACCCGACAGGACAGGCTGCGTCGCACGTTGCATGAAGAGCAAGTAGCTTCGGGACGCCAAATTTTCAAGCTCGGATGTTCCACAACGCACAGCCTGACGGTCGTCATCTGTGATGTAATGCACAGCACTTGCACCGGCATTCCCCGACCCCTGCCCCATCAGTAAAACACGGTAGTGCCCCGAGGACACCTGAGCACCATAGTGCAACACCACAGCTGTGGTGTGATAAATCTGATGATGCACGGCATGCCGAGAGGTGCACACTGGCAAGCATAGGCGACCCGGAATGGGCAGCGCGGCATTGTCACGAACCTGAAAGACTCCACGACCCTTAAAACGGTCAAGCTGAAGTACAACCCACTCGGCATCTGAGCGAAACGCATGAAGGTGCCTTTGCTGGTGCCAGTCGTCCACACTGGCCTGGATGTCCGGATGCAATTGTTGATCTGGTCTACGCATGGGAATGAGGACAACGCCAGATGTTCGTTTGTAACCTAGTGCACGTAGTCCCAAGTAGAGTGTGTAAAGTAATCACGAGAACACATGAAACATGTGTGTGAACCGCGACATGGAGGCTTAAGCAAGTCAGCCCGAGAAGTGAGAAAAGTGTGTTTGCGAGTAGAGTGGGAAGGAAGGCTTGAGAAGCCTTTAGTTTCAACATGGTAGCGGAGCTCCCTGATTCAGACCTCTTGGGAGCGATGAAGCTATCACAGGAACAACAGGTAGCTGTCGCCATGGTTTCCTTGGCTTTGGCTTTTTCGCTGATGTGTCTGGCGAGAAGCTTTGTGAAAGAACTTGTGAGAAAGGAGACGGTGGAGCGCGTAGCTCCAGCTGAGGAAGAGTTGCCAGAACTCTGGTACTCGCCTTACGGAGAGAAGACCCACACCTCAGGAAGATGTCATGGCCTCAGGAACGCAACCAGCGTACACCGAGTACTACCATGCAAGTACTGCTGTCCCGGCGGACTCCGATCCCGGGAACAACGCACCTTCGAGTACAAGAGAACCTTTTTGGAAGCAGCAGGAAAGTACCTTTGGCTAAAAGTCTTCATGGTTGTGGTTCTCATGGGCATGTCATGGTTCATGGTGTTTGAAGTGAACGAGACCTACGGCTACCCGTTGGCCACGAACCGCATGCTGAACTACAGGAACAAGGTCCTCAGCCTCGACAACAAGAACCCCAAGAAGAAGCATGTGATAAAGGAGATTACCCCAGCGGATGTTGTACCTGCCGGGATGAGCCAAGAAGGTGATCACACAGAGCTTTTCACGTTGTGGTCGCATGTACATGAGCCCAATACCAAACCGAGAACGAGAACGAGATCAACGTCACGAGCTACCTCAAGAAGACGAACGCGTACTCCGAGTTCTACAAGAACAGAAGAAAAAGAACAAAGTTGCAACTACAGTTTTCATGATGGTGATGTCACGGAGTATAACGAGAACCTAAAGAACGAAGAAGTGCCCCACGTGAACTACTACAAGAACCTTGTGTTTGAGTTGGTTTTGGAGTTTCAAGAGTACCTTGCGAAAGCAGGAAGAAGCCTTGAGCCCGTCGTGAGCTACGTCGTGCGCACGTGTCACCCAGTACTACTTCTACTTGGGACCCCGCTCGGTATGGTCACTTGGATCTACCTCTATTTTTGGGTCAGAGTTAAGCAAACAAAAAGAGAACAGTTGAAGAGGAAGTTTTCGAGAAGGAAGTTGCACAGGTCAGTTTGCAGCGTTCTTTTCAAGAAGCGAGTCTGGTTGCATGTTGTGTTGCTTTACAGTCACATGCAGAGTGCAGTTGCGATGGAGGAAGCCTTGCAGAGGCTTGCGGACCTCACTGCCCAAAACACACAACAGATACAAGCACTTGCCCAAGCAATGAACAGTCAGCAAGCGCAGGCAGGTACCGCTTCACAACAACTACAAGAACTCGCGCAGTCAGTTTCACAACAGCAGAGAGCAATTACAGAAGCAACCCAAGCAACCAACACAGCACTGTCACAACAAGCAGAGCTTACAGCAAACGCGGTTGCAGCAACAGGAAAGCTTACAGCAGACGCAGTCACAGCACTGTCGCAGCACGCAGAGTCAAGAAGGCCAGGAGAGATCGACCTCCACAAGATGATCAAATCTCCAGAAGTATTTGGCCCTACTACGTACAAAGAAGAACGTGATGGTTTTCTAGAGTTTCGGTTGAAGCTGAGAAGTTGGATAGGCGCTCTCAACAACGACATCCTTGAGAAGATCAACGCAGTCGAGATGGACAGAAGAGAAGCATCATGGGAATGGAGCAAACTTAACCCAGGTGAACAAGCACTTTCAAGAAAGCTACACTCCATTCTTACCAGCTACACACGTGGCCGTCCTCTACGAACTCTAAAGCAAGTACCCAACGAGAACGGTTTCGAAGCATGGAGGTTGTTGGTGGAGGAGCATCAGCCTCACAACCGTGCACGTTCTCTACAACTACTTAACGGAGTTCTTCACTACAGGTTCGACAAGCAAAGGTCAACACAAGAAAACATCTTGAAGTTTGAGGAGTTGATTGAAGAGTACGAGAGAGCGAGTGGAGACCTTGTTGAGGATGATATGAAGATTTCTATCATTCTTGGAGGAACTGAAGGGAACATGAGACAACATCTTCTACTCAACCAGAAAGAGACCACAAAGTACGGAACACTACGACAGTACCTCCTCTCCTACGAGCAAGCGGCAAGGTGGACTACCACAGACCTCATCAACTCAGGAAAGGACCACCAAGGACAAGCAGACATGGATGTTTCACGAGTTGAATGGTGGAAAGGCAAAGGAAAGGACAAAGGGAAAGGAAAGAAAGGAAAAGGATTCGGCAAGTATAAAGGCAAAGGCTACAGCAAGGGAAAAGGAAAAGGAGAAAGCCAGTACTACTACAAAGGCCGAGGAAAAGGAAAAGGACGAGGAAAAGGAAAAGGAAAAGGCAGAGGCCGAGGATATGGCAAAGGCGGGAGAAAAGGCTACAGCAGCAAAGGAAAAGGCAAAGGCTACAACAACCCAGGAATTGGTGTTTGCCACTACTGCCAGAAGCCTGGACACTACGAAGCCAATTGCAGACTCAAGCAGAGAGACATGCAGCAGAACGTCAGGAACGCACAGGAGGAAGACGAACAAAGCGTCAGAACACAGCCGACTACAGTTCCAAGCAGTAGCGCTTCAGCAGCCACAACAACAAGAACTGCAAGTACGAAGTCTACAGCTAAGCCAACAGTTCGGCAGATCGCGATGTACCACATGGACGACGATCCCGTCACGTACCCTGAAGTTTTCGAACTTGATGAAGACGAAGAAGAGCTCGAGATTGAATACTTTGGAAGAGTTTTGAGAGTGACGGAAGCTGAAGAGTTTGTTTTGTCAGAAGGAGAAGAGAGCGAAGAAGAACAAGAAGATCCTCTACTGAACTGGTACCTTGGACGTGAAGCACTACCACCCCAAGAAGTTCTCTCAGTGCGCGTTGTAGAAGAAGATTTTTTCCAGGAAAGTGATCTACACCAAAGAATCGAAGTTATCCTGGACTCTGGCGCAGACGTTTCACTTGTGCCCTCTTGGCTAGGAAAGGAAGGAACCCCGTTGAAGGTTCGCCCTTCGTCCATTCAGGACGCACAAGGAAAAGCAATAAAGACGGAAGGCAGAAGGATGCTGAACTTAACGTTCTTTGACGACAACGGAAGCTTTTGTCGTATCCAGGAAGCCTTCACCGTTGCCTCGGTGATCAACCCGCTGATGGCCATAGGCAAGCTGTTTCGAGAAGGTTGGGAGTTGCGAGTTAACGAAGAAGAAGGTATGTGTCTTACAGATGGAAGCTCAAGAATACCAGTGCATCTCCACAAGAACAGCTTGGCAGCCTACGCCTACGTACAAACTCCTTCAAGAAGCAGAGGTTACAGCAGCAACAACTACAAGATGGTTCGCACTGTTGTCCAACTCAACAAGCATGTTCAGGAAGCAGTGAACAAAGATGAACCTGGTTGGCACAACACTGACAGCATGGTGATCGTGAAGTACGCTACTCAAAGCAGCTATGAGAACCCATCTCTCATGTATAGCCCTACGCATTTTCCGTACAGAAGCACTTTGGTGAAAGAAGAGAGAGGATGGAGAGCAGTCGAAGTTTCAAGAAAGTACTCCGAGAAGGCAGACCCTTTTGAAGAGTTTGGTGAAGGAGAAAAAGAAGTGGTTACAGCCATTTCAGCAAAGCCAATTCCACTTTGGATCCTTGGCACTCCTTACGCAGCTGGAGATCGAGCAGACCAAGAAAGCCATGGTCGTGACTACTGGAAGATGGATCTTGAGAAGGAAGAAGTTGTTCGTCACCACGTAGTACCAAGAACTGTTTTGTTCGACCCGACAGGTGTTTCCAACTGTCCTGTCCTCCTTGGAGATCTCGAGAACAGCAGATATACCCAAGGAGACTGTATCTACAGTACAGAAATCTACGAACACAGTGACGACTGGAGAGCAGACCGCCTACCTCTACGTGAACACTTTCGGTTGCCGTGGTTTGGTCAAACAAGGTTTCGAGTTAAGCCAGAAGTTGTTGAAGACCTGAAGGCAGAAGCTGCAGCAGAGGAGCTAAAGAAGAAGAAAGAAGAGCACTACCAAGAGAAGGAAGACTCAGCAGCACCACCAGCAGCAGAAGAGAGCAAAGATGAGGAGATGAGAGAAGCACAAGCAGACCAAGAAGCACCACAAGAAGTTGTTGAAGTTTTGGAGGAAAGCTTCTACCACGAAGGCGTCGAGTACACAGCACAAAGAAGCAGTCTCAAAGAACTACAAGCACTTTGCAGAGAGTACGGAGTCAAGACCACAGGAAGTAAGAAGCAGCTCTTGAAGAGACTCGCCACAGCAGTCAGAGAAGAAAGGCTCAGCACGCAACACAAGGAACAACGGGAACACCACCAAGCATACCATCTAGCACCACCACAGGAACCAACGGAAGAGGAGAGAGCGTACCACAACTTGACGCACCTTCCGTATCAGCCTTGGTGTCCCCATTGCGTTGCTATGAAAGCACGAGAAGATAACCACAAGAAGGGATTAAGCAAGCCAAGCAGCTCTACGGATTCCGCGAAGCCCGTCATCAGTTTTGACTTTTGCTATACAAGCACCACAGGAAGTGAAGAGCCACCTGCAGTGACTCTTGTCGCTGTGGACAGCTGGAGTAAAGCAGTCTTGGCAGTGCCCTGCAAGAGGAAAGGAGGAGCAGGAAGCACAACGCACCTCGCGGAAGCACTCGTGCAGTTCACCACGCAGCTCGGGTACAATGCCCTCGTTCTCAAAGCAGACAACGAGAACGCAGCCAAAGCACTCAAAGACAAAGTACAGAAGGTACGCAGCAGCCTTGGATTTTCTACAACACTACAGGAAAGCATTCCTTACGACCACGAGAGCAATGGAGCCGCAGAAAGAGCAATACAGACAGTACGGAGGCAAGCGAACACTATTCTTGATGAGCTCAGAGAAAGAACACAGCTAGGAATACCGCATGAGCACGCAGTAGTAAGCTGGGCGTTTCGACACGCCTGCTGGCTACTCAACAGGTTCGCAGTCAGTAGCTCCACAGGAAGAACGCCACAGGAAGTTATCCACGGATACCCCTACTCAGGGAAGCTTGTACCCTTTGGTACAGTTGTGATGGCGAAGAGGTTGAAGATCAAAAGAAAAGGTGACAGGATATGGAACGCAGGAATATTCTTAGGCAAGACAGAGCAAGACACATGGATCGTTGCACAGCCTGATGGCATACATATCACACGCAGCGTGAGACCACTACCAGAACAGTACGACTCCAAGAGAACAAGCAGCATAGAGGTCCATACCTGGAACCTCAACACACCACTCCTTGGAGCAAGAATACTTCCAGAGAAGAAGCAAAGACAACGACCACAGCTAAGCATCCTGCCCCCTGTTGCCGAGGAAGAACGCGAACAGCTCGAGAACGACGAGGCCGCGAGCGACCCTCCGAGTTCGGAGGATAGCAGTGAAGAGCAACAACAAGCACTTGAAGACAGAGAGGAACAAAGCGAAGGCAGCAGCATGAGTGTGACGAGAGACAGAAAGAGAAGAGCTGAGGTTGATGATGACACCCTTTTGGAGGAACTCAGAGCAGGTGAACCACTCACAGCCTCAGCAGAAGCACTTTCAGCACCAGCTGAACCAAGAGCAGAAGCAAGCAAGCACAGTCTTGAGCCTGAGGAACCAAGCTCACCCAGCAAGCTAAGAAAGCAGGTCAACAGAGCAGAGGAAACAGACGGTTACCTCAACATGCCTCATGATGATGAAGTCTACGAAGCAGATGATGAGTTTGTGTACGAGTCGGAAGAAGAAGAAGAGGAGACAGAGAGTGAACCAGCGGAAGTTTCTACCAAGGTCCCTGTCGAGTTCTTCGACGAGGAGAAAGGACCACCGAATGTGGATCCAGATTTTCTTCAGAAGTTGGATGATGAAGCTACAGTCAAAGAAATCAAGAGGTTAACAAAGATGGGAGTTATTTCTTTGGTTTCTACGGATCCTCAAGAAGCAACTGAGAACGTACCTCTGGTAGATTCAGAACAAGAACTTCACAAGTGGTTGACAACGAAGTTGGTGAAAGATTGGAGGTTCAGAGAAGCTACAGGTTTTGAAGTTGACGAAGCCACAGCAGGAACAACAAAGCCCAAGCAGATTCAAAGATGCTGGCAGCGACGTGCCAGGCTAGTAGCAAGAGAGTACAAGACAGAAGGAAAAAGAGAAGATATATTTTCTCCTGCGACAAGCCCAGGAATTACGAAACTGGTACCCATGTTGGCTCTCGCCAACAATTGGGCGATCTACAGTGTCGACGTGAAGGACGCGTTTCTACAAGTCCCTCAAAGAACACCTTGTTTGTGTCGAGTACCTGAAGAAGCAGCTCACGTCGTACAAGCAATGCAAGAACAACAAGAACGCAACCCTGGAACTTGGTGTTGGAAGCTAGGAAGAGTCTTACCAGGTCAACGCGACGCATCCAGTCTTTGGTCAGACTTTTGTGATGGTCTCTTAGTGGAAGAGAAGTTTGAGCGTTGCACAGCAGTTCCAGCACTTTACCGTCTTCTACGACAAGGAAAAGTGGTTGCAGTTTGCATTGTGCATGTAGACGACTTGCAGTTTGCAGGCAAGAAGGAAGTCATCGAACCGATCCTCAAGAACCTCAAGAAGAAAGTGAACTTACAAGTTGAAGGACCTCTTCTGAACGAAGAAGATTACGAGAAAGGATTTTCTGAAGAGACCGTGAAGTTTCTCAAAAGGAAGCACACGTACGAACATCATGAACTACGAGTACATAGCGATAGCAAGTACGTGAAGAAACTCGTGGAGATCCTCAAGCTGGAGAAGAAGAAGGCCAAGAACTCTCCTTGTACACCAGCCAGTCAGGAACCTGACGTATCCCAAGAACTGGACGAGGAACACTCGAGAACTTACAGAAGTTGTGTTGGCATTTTGCTGTACGTGGCACACGACCGTCCGGACATCCAGTTCGCAGTACGCAGCCTAAGTACTGCTATGACAAAACCGACAGAGCGCAAAAGAAAGGAACTGGAGCACTTGGCACTCTACCTCAAAGGAACGTCAGACTACGCCGTTACGTACCGCAGGAACAGCCCAGGAACGTCAGCTCTACGTCATCGCTTAGAAGAACCACATGAACCACAAGAACCTCGAGAACAACAACGCGAACGTTTACTCGAAGTTTTTAGCGACTCCGACTGGGCCGGAGACAAGCAGACGAGGAAGTCAGTGAGTTGCGCCATGTTCTACCTTGACGGTGCATATTTCTATAGCTACAGCAGAACACAGAAGTCAATAGCATTGTCTTCAGCAGAAGCAGAATACATGGCACTTACAGGAGCAGCAAGCGAAGGAATAGGTTTGCACGCAGCAGTTCGTTTCCTTACAGGAGAACGAGTACTACTCAAAGCATACACAGACAGTTCCGCATGCCGCGGAATTACAAACCGCCAAGGGACAGGAAGAGTCAAGCACTTGCAGATTCGTTTACTTTGGTTACAAGCAGCAATACGAGAAGGCAAGCTTACAGTACATGCAGTTGGTACAAAGGAAAACACAGCAGACCTAGGAACAAAGCCTCTCAGCACGAAAAGAGTGAAGTTTCTCCTGAACATGATCGGCATGTGCAACAACGAAGGAAGAGTTGGAGAGCAAGAGCGAGAAGAAGAAGAAAAAGCACAAGTGGTGAGAAGACTCGAGAAAATCATGAAGAACAAGAGCAGCATGTTGTTTGCACTTTCGAGTTTGTTTGCGAAGACTGAGGCAGCTTACGTACAACACGTACCTTTCGCCGCAGCTCAAGAAGTAGCAAGCTCAAAAGAAGTCCCAAGCAGTCCTGGAAGCATGTCGCTTCTGGAAGTCCTGGTGACGCTCGCCATGGTGTGCATGGCGGCATACTTTGTCGTCAACGAGATGAGAAAGCCGCAGAAGCACAAGAAGTCTAAGAAAGAGGAGAGAAGCAGCAGTGAAGAAGAAGAAAGCAGCAGCTCAGAAAGCAGACGAAGAGCCGAAGACAAAAGAAGGAGGAAGAAAGCAGAGAGAGAAGCGAGGACTGAAGCTCCTGCCGCTCAGGTGAACTACGACGTGGACTCCTTCGACGAGGCAAAGAAAGAAGTGACAGAGAAGGCAGAGAAGTTGAAGAAGGTTGAGGAAAGCCTGGAGAAGGAAAAGGAGGAGTTCGGAAACCAGAAGACAGAGTTTGAGGAAACAGTGAAAAGGTTTTTGAAGAAGCAGAAGGAGGTGAAGGAAAAGGAAGACAAAGTTGCAGAGAGAGAAGAGAAGTTAGAGAAAGACCAAGAAACCCTCCAAGAGCAAGCCAAGGCCTTAAGCGAGAAGGAGACAGCCCTTGAAGAAGCTGAGGAGAACGTCAAAGCAAAGGAAGCAGAGGTTGAGAAGAAGAACAAAGAGGCAGAGAAGAGAGAGAGAAAAGCTCAGGAAAGAACCGCCGGCTACGACCAAGAGAGAGAAGAGTACGCCAAGAAGTACGTGGACGACGTAAAGAAGGACTTGGAGAGAGAGCTTAAAGTACTAAAGCAAGAAGAGAAAGTAAGGAACCAAAAGCTCGACGACCTCCAGTACGACTACAAGAGCCTCAAGGACGACTACCAGTACTTCAAAGCTTACTCGCAGGAAGTGGACGCACTTCTACTTGCAGCTAAGGACAAGATCGTGAAGTACAAGAAGAAGGTCAAAAGCCTCAAGGAAACCATAGGTGCAGCCTTGTCAGGAAGTGAAGGTGAAGAAGAGACAGACGAAGCGTACAAGACCAAAGCAGAGGAAGAGAAAGAGAAAGCAGAGGCTAAGGCAAAAGAAGAAGAGAAAAAGAAAGGAAAGAAGCCAAAGCAGGTAGAGACAGAAGACCCAGAAGAGAAGCCCTCAAGCAACCAAGGAGACGAGAACACCTTCGACCCGAACGACATAGCCGAGTTCACGCAGCTTGGTTACGTGTGGGAGTTTAACAAGAAGACGCAAGAGTACCGCGCGAAGTGCGAGGACAAGAAAGGAGCCGCAAGAATCAAGAACGCTCCGGTGAAAGGTCGCCTCCTTTGGAACAAGGTGACGGAGTGCTACAGAAAGCACAACGTGTGGTTTACAGACGGAAAGGAATTAGATAGATTCCTCGAGACCAAGGAGAACGAGAAGATCGAGGAAGAGGTGCAGCGACGCATCCACGCGAAGGGCAAGCACGACAACGACAGTTGGTGGTACAACGAGCAGTGGAACAACGAGAACTGGAACACCACCGACGACGGCAGCAACTGGTACGAGAACGCGAACCCACAGAACAAAGGCTACTGGCAGACGCCAGAAGAGTGGGCGCAGCAGAACCAGTGGGAGCAGTGGACACCCAAAGGAAAGAGCAAAGGCAAGAAGTCCAAGAACTGGGTACAGACCCAGTGAAAGGATCCCGAGAAGGGATGATCGAGAAGGTCAAGCAGTGAACGCTTGTACATATGTACATAGCTAGGCAACGTAAGACTTGATGTATACTAGCACAAGAATTCATGTACAAAGTGTGAGCAAATGTATAGACGTAGCAAACTGGGGCAGTAAGCCTAGGTAAGCTACAACCTTCCAAAGTCTCACAAGAAGTTTCACACGAGGCAGGTTAGGAAGGTACAAGGGCCAGAAGAGGCAAGAAGCCGGAGAAGCCAAGAACAAAGAAAAGAAGCCCGAAAGAAGAAAAGCCCGTAGGCTACGTAAGGGCAGAAGGAAACCGGGGTACGGGCCTCCCCGCAAAGAGTCCATAGGCTGGACCTAACTAGAACGTAGCTGTATATACAGAGTAGGTTTTCAGGAAGGCCAATGTACAGACATAGAAGGCCTAAGTAGCAACAGGGCAGGAGTGCAGCTAGGTAAAAGACCAGGAAGAACGGAGACGAAAGTCCCTAGCAAAAGCACTGTACAGAAAGCCCTAGCAGTTTCCAAGAACACCCTAGGAACCCGCAAGAACTTTCTGAGGCGGGGTGTTCGTTTGTAACCTAGTGCACGTAGTCCCAAGTAGAGTGTGTAAAGTAATCACGAGAACACATGAAACATGTGTGTGAACCGCGACATGGAGGCTTAAGCAAGTCAGCCCGAGAAGTGAGAAAAGTGTGTTTGCGAGTAGAGTGGGAAGGAAGGCTTGAGAAGCCTTTAGTTTCAACACCAGAGCCCCGATCACGCGTGAGTGATTCTGCTAAAGGTGCCGCACGGGGGGGCCCAGTGAACCCAGCTCAAGTCTTCATGTGAAAGCACTGCTTTCAGGAGGTTGCGGCCTAGCTGCGTGCAGAGATCGAGCTGCAAGACCTTGAGGCCTCTGGCCTTGGTCTTGTGATCCACCACGATGTTCGAGAAACCTTTCTCGATGGCCGCCTTACTAAGGCGGCCCAGGCCGCAGAAGACTTCTACGAAAAGAGGGGGTCTGCATCCTGCTCGCTGAGCCGGTTTTGCGGGAGCGATGTCTACAGGAGCGTCGGCTGGGACACTTTGCTGCTCTGCCAAAACAAGCTGCGGGGCGCGCTCTGGCGCGAGAGTATCCTCGGACGTTGGCGCTGCCACCGGAATCCCTGGCTTACTGGTGGCAGGGGGCGGTGACGGCTCTGCCGGAAGGGGATGAAACGGCGCGACCAAGGGGCTGTGCTGCTGAGAGGTCGTGCTTTCCGCAACTGCGGAATTTCCGGGACGCACGCTGGCGGAGGGCTCCAGCGGCTCTGCCGCGCCCGTTTTAACGTCGGCTAGTCAAGCCGCCCCGGCTTCTTTGGGGCAGTCTGCGGCTCCATGCTCGGAGCTGCCGCAGCTCATGCACTGATGCAGTCCTCGATCGCACTGCTTCGGGGAGCCGGAAGTCTCCAGGTCGCACCCGCACTGCAGGTTGAAACCGTAGCACAGGCGCTTGCCGGACTTGGAGATGCTGTTCAAGTGGCGAAGCTCTTTTGGCATGCTCGGCGGTCTGGAGCGGTCTGCGCTCTCGTGGCGCTTGCCTTTTCCTTTTCCGCGGCCTTTTCCTTTGCCGCCTTTCTTACCTTTGCCAGTCGTGCTACGACTGCGGTCTTCGTCGCCGCGGGTGTAACCGCGGCCCTTGCCCTTGCGACCCCTGTCTGCCGCTGGCGAGGGGAGGAGGTGCATCGTTACGATAGGATCGGACCACATACTCTCTACTAGAGAGTCTAACGGCCGCTTACCATCCTTGTCCGGTTTGCACCCCTTGCGACACTCTCGCGCGAGCAAGGTCCAGAGTTCTTTGTCAGCACGTACTACGTGCCAACTGCTTCTGCGTTCCATTCCCGGCGGCGCTGGCCGGTTCAGGACAGAAAAGAACTGTCTCACGAGTCTCTCGTGAATTGTAAAATCCAGGACGCCGACTCTGTCGAGCGCGAGACCCCTGCGCGTCAGGGCCTGCGTGAGCTTCAGCTCGTTTCCTATCTCGACGTGCACGCTGTGCTCCTTCTTCTTCAAGGTGAGCTCCCCAGACTCTAGGGAGAGGAAGTCCCTGTCACGCCTCACTGAGGCGATCTCGGCATCCCTGCTGACGCACTGCGACGGCGGGATGTAACGAACCATGCCGTCCTGCAGCATGAGTGCGGCTTTGTCGACTAGACTGTGTGCGGGGTCGTAGTCGCCCTCGATGACGACACCCCGAAGGCGCGCGACTTGCGCGGTTCGGCGCTCCTCACGCTCGTGCACAGGCAGACTTTTGGGGGTGACGCTGTCACCGTCCATTCTCGACTTCAGATCCTGGATACTGAAAGTGAGACTTTCAAAGGCCAGTCGCCGCACTGCGGCTTTGGTACCCAGGCTGGGGTCCGTGGTAAAGACCTTCTTAAGAAGTTCTTCAAACCTGGCATCGCTGATGCGGTCAGGTTGGTCAGCGACGCTGTACGCTAACGTCCCGAAAGTGCGGATGTCTGCCGCGTGGAGCTTCGCCGACTCGACGTCTCCGAGAAGCTGTCGAGCTCTGCTCGAGAATTCGGCGACGCTGTCGACGAGGTTTGCCATCGTCCTGACAAGCAGGTGAAAAGAAAAAGAGAGAGAGAGAGAGAGAGAGAGAGAGAGAGAGAGACACTGCAACACTGTGCACAGCCAGAGAAACCTACTAGGACGGACAGAAGACTCTCGCGCACTCTTTTTCACTCTTACTCAAAAGACTTGCTGCTCCAGCAAGTCTTGCAGTGCGGCCGACCCGGCGCTAGGCTGCGAACTTCGCAGGTCATATATTTTTCATTCAAGCAACGGCCGCAAAGGAGGCGTGTGGCATTCTCGCCACGACTGGCGTGCAACTTGCCGCTGGCAAGATGGCACCACGAGGCGGCCCATTCCGGGAGAGTGCACTGCACTTCCCTCTGAAGGCTATCCTCCGTCTCACTGAGTTCTTGTTGTTGGCTCACTTTCAAGGCCTCTACCCCCACTGGGGGAGAGGAGCCGGAGGACGCTTTTCTGTGAGAAACCTTGCTGAGGTTTTCGCGCTTCAGGTTGAGCTGGCTACTAGGGAGGGCGAACTGCTGTCCCAGTGGCTGGTCCGGCGAGAAGTCGCCATCTCTGATGGCGACGAGAACCTCTTCCAGGGCCCGCGCTGCGGGGATGAGCACGTTACGGCTGTACCTTTCTGTGCTCCGAGCGCTGTCGTGAACGTGGTGAGCCAGCAACCTGCGCAGGTCGAGGTTCACTCCGGCCTGCGACGCCCAGGTGAGACAGGTGGCCTTGAGGCTGTGGCTGCTAAGGCGCTCTGCGCCCTCGCAACGCGCGTTGGTAAGCGCGCTGCGCAGCCAGTGTGTGATTTCCTGGGAGTTCATCGGACGATCAGCTAAATCGCCGTCAGAAGTAAAAGCAGGGATCACTGATCCCTCCGGGATTTCTCCGCTGGAAGAAAGACCCAGTTTCTCTCTGTTCTCCAGCCACTTGCTGACCCAGGACTCTTCGAGAAAAACCACTGGTGCTACCAGCGGCAAAAGGAGGCGGCTCCTCGCACCAATCGCTGTTTTAGCCTTTTTTACGTTGGCCTGCATCCACACTGTGGCGCAGGGATCTTCCGGCAACTGGACGGAAAAGGAGGCTACACGAGCGGCGTCACTGGCGCGAGCACAGGCGGAGAGCATGAACAACAAGCCCCCAGCTACGACGCCGTCGTAGATCGTGCGGGGATCTGCCCACTGAGCAGTGACGGCCACAGACCGCCATGCCTTGGTGTACGCAGCCCTGCCTCTCGCAGGGCATGCAGCACATGAGGTCGGCTCGCCTCTCAGGGTATTTCTCCCATCTCTCTGAGCCTGGGGTTGCCCAATACGGCCATTCGTGCACTTGTGGCACACGAAGATGCGGCGAAACCCGGAGAGCCTGCGCTACTAGCGCCCGCAATCCTGGGTACCGTCTGTCCGTCGCTGACGCCAGATTTCGCCAGTCATTGTTTTGGGGGTCCTCCCCTGGTTGGAAGCTCCACCCTCTCTGGCGATTCCGGCGCTGCGGTCTGGAAACGACGACTGTGTTGGCATTTTGAGCGAACGGCACTGCCGTCGCAGCTTGGCTGCTTGCCAGAGAGACTTGGGAGTCTCCAGAATTCTGCTCACTGTCAGTGTCGACCACCTCCACGAAGGGTCCCGGCACTGACGGGGCAGCGTCCGGAGAAGCTGCAGGAGCACCTTGTGGCACGTCCGGCGTGCGCAATGGAGGTGCCGCCGCTGGCGGCGGCAAGGGAGGTTCTGATGCTTCTGCCGACGCTGTCGGAGGAATGTGGCTGGACGAGGCGGCGGGGTCAGTGCTGCCGCTGGCAGCCTTGTGGGTCTTCTTCTTTTTCTTCTCATCCTTGAGGATCTTGACCCAGCCACCCTTCCCTTTACCCTTGCCATCAGGGTGCCATTGGAAGCCGCTGGCTTCGACCTTCTCGCGTATGTGGCTTTCTAAGCCATCCACAAAATTAAGTCTCCACTGGAGTTTAGGAACATCATTTTCCTCCCCGCTCGGAGGCCAATCGAACATGCCCGTATGCGGCCATCCGGGCGTGGCCCCTGGCGGCCGTGGAACGTCGCGCTGCGACATCGTGTAACGGTGCATGGGGAAGGCGCTGCCATCCGTGTCGGGCTGCTCACCCGGGAGCTGTTCAAAAGGCCAAAAGGGAGGCCAGACTTTGGATCTCCCTTCGCCAGGCACATTTAATGCCTCCTGGTCGTCACTGACGACTGCGGGGTCCACCCGCATAGCGCAGCTGATTGCCCAAAGGAGATAACTTATCTCCTGCTGCGCCATCTCTTCGCGCATGGCTTGCTCCAAAATATAAATCGGATTGCACTGCAAAAACCGAAGGCACGAGCGGCACTGCCGGACTCGTAGCAGAAGGCCTGGCGATGCCAGTCTGTTTGGCTCGCCGTCCCGCCTAGGGTACGGCGCCTCTGGGGACTCAGCCGCGTAAATGCGTGCTGCTTTATCCA